TTGATACCATGGTTGTTGTAGTACCGTCTTTAGAAAGACACAAGATTCACAAACCACCTGCCAGGAAAAGGCAATACTGCCACTAATAACTAGGACACAAACACCACAAGACCTAAAGCCAATGGGCAATGCTACTAGTCTGTGTCTGAAGGTCACAAAACTGTAAGCAACGTTAAAACCCATGGGACAAGGTCCATGGGTGATTTTGGTCCCACTGTCCACTGCTCTATCTAAACCGAGAACCACTGTTAGGGAAACATACCAAGTTCAGACTGTTCTCCCGACCTCCAATTCTGTTCCCCCAAATTACACCTAGCACATCATTTGCAATTACTCATAGCTAAACCTAGATGGTAAGCGGATAATAGAACTGCAAAGTCCATGTTTCCTCATGCCTTCATCAGAGATGGAGAGAGAGGTGGGCAGAAAGCCCGGAAACCCTAAAGTCTGAGATGCAACATTAATCCATAACGCTAGGTGCTAACCAGACCAATGTACATGCTGCTCATGTAAAAGAGGGGTAAGCGCTATACAAGACCATCTTAGTTTCCAAGACCTCTTTGACACAATGCATCTACTTAGCATCTCTATGCAGCCTTCGACACGCCACTTCACAAGCTTAGACAGAAGCCAATTCAGGAGAGACCAAGCGATGGTGCTTCTTAAACATTCAGATGCGTCTATATTTTCCGCCAGCATCTCACTAAGCTCCCTCACTGGAATCTCTGGGTCCCTTATTTTTGGCACCTAGACACAGTCACTATGGCCTACTTGACAAGAGCTATTTTGTCCCTCGGTTGCCATACCTAACTTCTCTAACTAATATCATGTCCTGCAAGACACATTCAGTTCTCCTGCTCGACAGTCACCAGGACTGTCATGTTTACATTTCCTTTCTCCTCTCTCCCTGCCCCCCTCCCATCTGTGGTTTATAAGCATTTCCCAGATTCTTAAAACCATCTCCCCCGCACATCTGGAATTAGTTTTGTCCACTCTGCTCAGCGTCTAAGTGGGAACAGGAAGCTCCTTCTGCCAGGCTACAGATGCTCTTTAACCCTGGAAAGAAAAGCCTTTAACAACTGGATCTGCGTCATCCTGTTAGCACGAGAATATCCACCCCAGGTGTGCTGGCAGCCCAATGGAAGGACAAGACTGCTTACGTGAGAGAATACCTGTGTTGTTCTAGGCAGCCACTTTGAAATTTACTACCTTTCTCTACTCCGAGGAAACATCTCTCCAACAAGACTGTTTCGTCCTGCGTCCTTTTTAACAAGCGGTCCTGCCTAATAGCTAAGTTCACAATGCAATTAGAGGCTTAGTCAAGGCATGACATTTGCGCGGAGGTAAACCATTTGGGAGGAATAAATACACTGTTTGTAGATATTATACCTGTGTCTCAAGGGGAGCATCCCCTCTTGTGTGAGAGAGACAGTTTTTCAAAGATGGTTCTTGACTTCTGCCGTTCATAAGAACTTTTAAAATAAGTACTTGCATTACAAAAAGAGAAAGGAAAAAAAATGGAATCTGCTGTTCATTCAGGGCACTTGGTAAAATTCGAACATTGCAATCCTAATCAACACTGCCCCTAATAGGCCCCTCTCCGGTTCCACCTGGGTTTCTCCTATAACATACCTATGTCCACATTCATATTAGGAGAATCTATATAAATAGCAGAAGTATCAGACTCAAGTGAAGCAGGAAAAGGAAAAACAAAACAAAACAAAAACTTTATTTGTAAGGAGAAAGAGTGTGAAGGAGGATCCTCTAGATTCCTGTAAAGAAAGGATTCCGCCTTCCTTGATGGAATCCACAGCGTGATTTGATGTGTGCCAGTTGATTGTGCGGGAAAAATTAAAATCTCTGTGTGTGCTGATTGCTGCTACGGAGACTACGGTCTTTCTCCCCCGCCCCCCCCCCCCTGCCCTCCCACCATGTGACTGGTGAGTGAAACACGGTGGGTGGTAGGAGGCCTCTCCCCCCAACAGCACCATGTGCTAGGATCCCTTCTCTGAGCCTCCTTCTCTCCCACCAGCAGGACCAACCCATCGCTGCTCGGTGGGAGCGCTTCGAACACAACAGGTGCCATGCCGTGGTGTCATGTCATTGTGCGCCAAGTTGGCAAGAGAGGTGGGTTAGAGAGAAATGCCTGGCATTTCCTTTTTGCCTGGGCTTGGGTGCGTGGATAGCGTGGAGGCCCATGCACTGGATTGCTAAGGAAGAGATGGGGGGAAGGAAGCTTGCAAGAATCCCCATTGGTGCCCAAAATGGCAGACAGAGATGCTTCGTTACCTTACCAGGCCTTCTCCAGACGAGACCCAACATCCTTATAGGGTTTTTTTTAGGAATGAAGCTGCTTGTACAGCCACTCCTCTCTAGCCGGGACTAGGGCATCCCATACCTCCAGGGCCAGCTCTGGACTTCAGGGCTAGCCTGCACGGACATCCTGGCTGCGGGTCACTGGAGATAGCAAAGGAGGGATCATTTCAACCACCAGCTGGCCACCGTGAGAGCCCCTCGGGGACGCGGGGAAGGAGCAAGAGGAACGTCACGGCAGCCACCCTGAATCATGGCCACCCGCGGCCTTCCGGAACCCGTCAACATCGGGTCAGCATTCCGAGGGAAAACACAGGATCTGCCATACTGCCGTTTCACTCATTAGAACCATCTCAGGGAAGACTCGAAAGCCCTCAAAACACATTTATGCCTGAACGACAAGGAGTATGGCCCAGGAATATGGAGATCATTTCTTTGCTCTGTCATTACTCAGTTTAGGGAACACGAAACCCTAACACTTTAAGAGTTTGTGACAGATTTGTACTCATTAGCAGAGCCCATCCTTTTTACATTCACCAAATGAGCTAAAGCGTGGGGAGGGGAAAGGGGCACGCCATCTTTTTCCCCCCTCAGTGCCGCGTAAATGAAAAGAGGTTCACGGAGTATCTCTGGCCAGCTGGAATTGGCTGTGCAATTAACGGAAGATCACGACGCAACAATTAGAAACATCTCTGTGGGAACGAACCTCACCCCCCCACACCCCAGCTCCACTTCTAATCTTAAAAATTAAGTAGATGGCCATTGATGACAAGCGAAAGCCATCCGGCTTAAAAGAGACGATTTGTACAGGGTTGCGCTGTAAGAAAGCACCTCAGTCAGTTCTATCTGCTGGGTAGGTGGGGTGGGGTGGGGGCTTATCAAATTCCTCCAAGTTACGCTTCCTTTCAACACTGAAGAACTGAGTTCCTCAGTCTTGCAATAATATAACCGACATCTAACCTACGTTTTCGGTGGAGTTTGAGCTGCCAGGTTGCCTAGCAAAGAGGGGCTAAGTAATGTTTAACTCTGTAAAAACTTTATTAGTAACACATTCCTTTGTTTCAAGGGGAAAGCTTGCAAAGTTCAGCCTGAGGAGACATCTCTCCCAACGAATACCCACTGGACACAGTTGCGATCGCCCCAGGTCACAGGAGTGGGAGACTGACCCGCTGACCAGTAGCCCATGCTGATCTCCTTTAAAGGGAACAGCCACGCTCTTTCCAAGGGGGAAATCCTTAATTCTGGAAGCCTCTGCCTGCAGACGTCCTTCCACAGAACCGAACCTTTCCAGCTTAGGAGTATTATAAAGCTAATGTAGATGAGGAGGCTAAAGAAGCTCTGGCCCTCATTAAAAAGAGTGGATACTAGTTACACAGCAGGAGATGAAAGCACATAAAAAGTGATACGGAGACATATGCCAGAAGTCACACATCCTCACAGGAACCAACGTGTGCTCCCCCTCCCCTGCTTTGCTAATTGGTTTAATGATATCTTGCTTAGAGAAAGGCTCTGTCCGTCTGGAAGAGTTGGTCAGATTTTCACTCTGTCCTTTCCCCCAGGCAGCGAGAGAGCCTTCAATTCTCCTTTTCTTAGCGCCTCGAACCTACACACCCCACTACTCACCTCGCGACATCCTTCCTTTAAAGGACATCTTTAAGGAGTGCAACCTTAAAAGGCAGATACGTTCTCCGTCATCTCAAATTAACCAAGGAATCATATTCCACTTTGGGCTCTTGGCAACTTATGTCTATTCTCCTCTCGTTCGGACTTTTGTGAGCACTGTGGCGTCAATACATTACTCTTCCCCTACCTGACATATTAGGCTACAGTCTTCGTTGAAGAGGAAACACTGAATCTCCTCCAGATATGGGGGGGAATCCCTTTCAGAGCAGAGCAGGGCTGAGCTTAACAACTTCCTCCCTTTAAAGTAAAGTCTATGAATGAGATTTCCTGCAAACTATTAGGGTAACCAAACTCTGGGGAAGCTCTGGCTCTCGGCTCTGTACACTCCTCTTATTTGGGAGTATAACAATAAACACAGCACGTGCTATCAGCCCTATCAGTATCTCCACCCGCGTGTCACCTTTCGGCACGTCAGTTCTTTTAAACTCTCGGTCAGCTCCTTTTCATGAACTCTGCAAGAGGCCAATGGGAGAGGTATTCTTTTCCTCCGGTGTCAACTGCTGCCCTTATTATCACCCACCAGATCATTTGTTCTGGCCTTTTCCGATGGGGTGTACCTTCCCGAGGTGTTCAACCGCAGAGGTGTGCAGCTACCCTAAGCTCAAACGGCAGCGGTGATGGGGGCTGGACTCCAAAATAGCTGGAGGGGCACCACATTGGTTTCAGACCATATCAGAAACTGAAGGGCTCAATGCATTGAGATGACCTTTTATCAGAAAAAGGGGCAGATTTGATACGGCTGTTCTTTTGAATAAGGATAGCACCACTCCTTTTATTGCAGTGACACTGAGCTTTCTTTTTAGTGTTTGGCTTCCGTAGCCACTTTCCCGAGCAAACTAGCTTTGCCCGGAGAAGAGGAAGTAGGGGACCGCATCTCACACCCACTGAGCAAACCCCAGATAAATCTCTGACCCAAGGGATTTTCTGCAGCACCAGCAACGGCAGCATCAAAGTGCAGGACTATGGCTGAGTGACTGGACAAGCTTTTAGTGCAAAACTCCCCCCACACCTTGAACTGCTCCATCCTTTACAGGACGGGGGCTTAGCAACCCTTGATCGCTTGACATTTGCAAGAGGGCCAAAAGATAAGATTCCAGCCCATCCAGAAAAGGAAGGGGAGCAACGTGGGACTCACCTGAGCATGGAGGGCGGCGGCGGCGGCAGCAGCAGCTGGATATGTGAAAGCTGCATGCGGGATTGCCGGGGTCAACTCTGTGGTGTAAAGTGGATAGGGAGCCCAGGCCTCTGGAGACGCGGGGATCAGAGCTGCTCCAGTCAGGTCATCTAGAGATTGGGAAACAACCGCAAGCTCGTTACTGCCGCAGGGTGAAAGGGCCAAACGTTTCATATTGCTTTGTACTGGGGGTGCAGAACGGAACAGGCACGACCTGTAGGAATCCCAGCGCCTTCTAGTAAAATGTAAAGGTCCCCCTGGACAATTTGTCGAGTCGTGTCCGACTCTAGGGGGCGGTGCTCATCTCGGTTTCCAACCCACAGAGCCAGCGTTTTTGTCCGAAGACAATCTTCCATGGTCACGTGGCCAGCGTGACTAGACATGGAACGCTGTTTACCTTCCCACCGAGGTGGTACCTATTTATCTACTCGCAATTTTTTCCATTTTGCATGGCCTACTGCCATCGATCTCGGGAAGAAACAACCCACCCCTGTCTCTACATGCAGGGGCCTCCTACCCAGCATAAGGAGAAGAATCTAGAGTTTCTCATACTAAGAGTTCTTCTACTGGGTATTCACCAAGTATTAAGCAACCTGCTAAGGGTAGCTTCGCAGGTTTACAAACCTTTTGCTGGTACATAACCTGTTGGCCTTATGGGCGCCATCCATCCACCTCCACGATTCTATGGCACATAACCCTTGCATGTTCACACTAACAAATGCCTTACAGGATTTTTCTCCCCACAGGGAGCTTCTATCAGACGTTGGCTGCCACGGAATGTCCAAGGCAACCCTCAAGGAGGGAGGAAAGGGCAGCTTTGCCCCCAGGCAGAACCTTCCAACCACACGACCAATTCACATGCTTTATCCCCCACCCCCCGCAACACTCCTCACAAGGGTCCCGTGCAATGAAGTGTGCTCCTAGGGCAGGGTGGAGGTTGGTGGGATTCGGCGTGGCCATCAGCTTGCTTTTCGCCATCTTGGTATTGGCTTTGGCAAACTCGAGCCGCAACGTCTGGGGGTTCTCCGGGTCGAAGCGGATGCCCTGCAGGAGAGAAAAAGAAGATGGCTGATTACAAAAGGAAAATGTAAAAACGGTATACTCCGCCTTCAAAAACAGTAACTGCAGAGTTCATGAGAATGTTCAAAATATGCAAGATGGGCTCTCTTTTATAGGTAAAAGCTTGAGATAACTTGTATTACTAGCTCTCCTAAAAACAGACTGCATTAATTAATGTGGCATAACGCATGGATTCCACTATTTTAAACTCCAATGTTTTTAGCTTAAGTCCCCACAAGGGCACCCCGTTTGTCAAGGCAGAAATTCTAGCCCAATCTTCTCCGTGATGTGCTAGTTTTCTAATGACAGAGATTTCAGTTCAATTTGTTTACATCATAAAAGATGCAAACAGCATTCTGAAGTTCCCCTGTTCCTTCCACCACAGCATCCCTCTGCTTACTTCGACTCCTCCTCAATTCCATCACATGTCAAACACAGTGGTCAAGGCTATAAGGGATGAAGACAAATACAGGTACGAGCCACTCTAAACAAAGGATGTAAATCCTCTCTCATCTCATTCTCATGTGTAAGAATGAGGAACCAGAACATTTTCCACCTGCGAGGTGGTGAAGTGTTTTCTGTTTGCCTGGGAAAGTTTTTTCCATTTGTAAGAACAATTTGCGTGGAAACTGAATAGACAAACTTGACCACTGCTATCTTGTTGCATGGATTTTTAAGAGCGATACTCATGGTGCCCTGTTTGGGTCTATGTGTGAGTCAGCCCATCTTTCTATGCTTGCTGTTACATGTACGCTTGTGAAACACAGAGAGACAAACCACTTCTGAGTATCCTCTACTTAGAAAACCATGAAAAAGATTTCTCGTAATTCAGAATTGACTTGACAACTCACAATTACTATTATTATTAATCTAGTGGGGCATCTTCACATCTTTATCCAGAAAGCATGATCAATTCACTATCTTCAAAGACACTGGCTAGGCCCATTTAACTGGCTGTCCATTACACTAATTATTCAATCCTAAATTATGCTGAATTACTCCTTCCTCCTTATTCCCGGGAGCCGCTTCCATATAATGTTACTTTTGTAAAGTTAATAGGAGTAGGTGAATAGTTCAGTGCTCGAGTGTTTATACAGGCAGCCTTTAAACGACTGAAATCACTCTTCCCAAAGAAGTAGCTGTGCGGGTCTGTCTCAGCGTCTTGACAACATTAAAGGAGGGAAACAACAGGAAAAAGAAAGATAAAAAGACGAAGTTTTGTGGCACTTTGAAGACTAACCAGTTTATTTTAGAGTGAACCTCTGAGGATCAACATCTACTTCTTCAGGCATCTCTTTCAATTATGTTTTACCTCCACACCATGAGGACTTTTCATGCTCACTTTCTGAATGCTAACGCCAGCTAAAAGAGCAGGAGCACACCATTTTTTAGATGTCTCTTCGGATAAAACAACAGGACCCCCGATCCACAGGATCAGGATCAGCCGATTCACTTATCTGCCATCTGAAATGACTAAATCAAAATCCTCAGAAATATGTATTGTGCACAATTTTACATTTTCCCCTCCCTGCCTACCCCCATCTACAGCTTATGAGCTTTTTCACTCACTGAAGCCATCCAGAGCCGTCTGCCCTGATGTTAGCTTTTGTACTTTGCTTGCTTCTGGTTAGCATTTGGAATCCATGTGGATGAACTGTTGGTTCTCTCCAGCGCTACTGCTGTCAGTTACCAGCTGACAGCCAAGAAAGAAACTTACACACACACACACACACACACACACACACACACACACACAGGTCCGTACAGGAGAACCTCCGGGCAATGGTTCCCAACCTGGGGTCCTCAGATGTTCTGGGACTAAAACTCCCAGAAGCCTTTTCACCACTAGCTGTGCTTGATGCACTCTTAGCTTCTAGATGAGGCTTCCTTGAGCATCGTTTTACCAGCTGATGGTAACAACTGTACCAACGTGAGTGCAACGTATCACGCCATGGTCATCTGTTATGAACTCAGAATAGATCTGAGATACGGAGGCCTTCTGTTCAGCCAGGTTCCTGCTCATGGTGTCAGGGGGCGCCCCATATATTGGGTCCAGGCCAGTCTGATTTGTCTTTTATAAGGACTTCTGCTACCAAGGTCCTCAAATACAGTGGTGCCTCACTTGATGACGTTAATTCGTTCCAGCGAAATCGCTGTAGACCGAAAACGTCATAAAGCGAAATTAAAAAGCCCATTGAAATGCATTGAAAACTGTTTAATGCGTTCCAATAAGCTGAATACTTGCTTGTCCAGCGAAGATCCTCCATACGGCAGCCATTTTTGGGTGCCTGTCTTACAAAACATGCCTCCTAAAAACAGTGGGGAGTCATTTTGAGCAGCCGGTGGCCATTTTGAAAACCCGACGATCAGCTGTTTTGATCGCCGTAATGCGATTGGTTCCCGAAGCAGGGAACCGATCATTGCAAAGCGAAAAAACCCCATTAAAACATCATTCTGCGATCGCAATTGTGATCGGAAAAACACTGTCGTGAAGCGGATTCATCGTTATACGGGGTAATCGTTAAGCGGGGCACGATTGTACTCACATTCAATGCGTTCTTTGCAGCTTCCGCACCAGACCGGCTGTCGAAACTAACAAAGCCTACCGGCTAAAGAGAGAAGAACACAAGGTTTGAGCTCTGAACATGCCCACACACACAGAGTAAAGACAAACCGCTTCAAGCTTGGCTAGGAAAGTACTTATGAAGGAACCTTTCATGAATATTTTTAATCGGGTTTGGTCCCCTGCTCTTTTGGGGGGGGGCATTTTGTCCTCTAGTTGGATAACGTCTTATAGGAAAGTCCCTCAAAGCAGTATTAAGCAAGCACACTGTATACGCAGGATGATATGGCTGAACAACTTTTTCATATAGGAGGCCCAGGTGAGTTAATTTTACCTGGACCGACGCAATTATCTGCCCCTTTATTGTAAATTCCAGGCCTAGGAACCGCATGCCTCTCTCCCTCCCTAATTAAGACATCTGATCCTAGATTTAAAGCGGTTAAGAGCAATCTTGGGCAGGCGCCAGAAGAAGGCCAAAGGGAGGCATTACCTGTTTTGATGTTAGTTTGATCAGTGATCCTTCATAACCCTGAAAAGACAGAAACCGGCAAGTTAGCTCTCAGGCTCCTTAAAAGGAAACAAAGACTCTGAGAGGCCAGCTCAGTGCTCTTAAAAAGCAAAACCAAGTGCCAAAAATACTTCTGCGTCCTGCGAGGTTGCACTAAGACGTTACTGTGCTGGCAGTACACAAACCCACAGCCCATCACCACCTCTAAAGGGGCATACTCATGACAATACGAAGCTGCTTTATAAACAGCCTGGCTGCAGGTCCCACCCAGCCCAGTCCTGTGACCAAGCAACAGGATCTACAGGCTTCATAGGTAGAGAGATCTTTTCCAACCACACAAAGAAACACCAGTTAACAGAATTTGCAAGGGTCCGATTCTGGGACTTTGGACATGCAACGTATGTGTTCAATTCCTCTGAACTCCTAAACAATTGTTAAAGATACAGTAGTGCCTCGCATTACGACGTTAATTTGTTCCAGCGAAATCGCTGTAGAACGAAAATGTCGTAATGCGAAAATAAAAAGCCCATTGAAGCGCATTGAAACCCCTTCAATGCGTTCCAATGGGCTGGAAACTCACCGTCCAGCGAAGATCCTCCATAGGGTGGCCATTTTCAGTGCCTGTGCAGCGAGGAATCCGTCCCAGAAAACAGTGGGGAGCCATTTTATTTACCCAGTGGCCATTTTGAAACTGCCGATCAGCTGTCCGAAAATCGTTGTTTTGCAAAGACTCGGTTCCCAAAGCAGGGACCCGATCATCGCAAAGCAAAAAAACCCCATTCAGACCATCGCAAAAAGATTGTCGTAATGCAGTTTCGTCGTAATGCGGGGCAATCGTAAAACAAGGCACCACTGTAAGATTTAACTGATTATCATCATCCTTCTTGAATGAGCCAGGGGTGCCTACCGGGTTGCACCTTCGCTCCCACTCACCTTGAATGTCCGGAAAAGCAAGTAAAGTTCTCTGGGCTTGATGTCCACAGGAAGGCCACTGACAAAAAGCGTCCGTACCTAAGAGAGATGAGACAGCACCAAGCAAGTTTAGGGAATCGCTGTACCACATGGTTATAATCTTAGAAGGCATGGTTTAAGGTTTTCACTCAGTTGATTTGCTGAATACAACAACGCTAATGAAGTTTCAAGAACGGTATACCAGGTGCAAGATTAATAGCCACTGCTGACTGGGAGGTGGCCTGCTTAACCATCTCTGGCATCCAAATGTATAAGACATCGGGTCCAACTACAGCTTCTATTGGTGACGCATGCAGAAAGCAGCAGACTTTTGCAAATTCTTACACCTAGATAGTATTGTTTCTAGGCTATTTCCAAAATGAGCTACATCATAAAGGATCAATGTGAAATTCACACTTGTGTATACTACACTGAAAACTGTATCAGCATGGCTCTAATGCCTCGCTCACTGCTTTCAGAAACTCTTCTCTCGCTCAAGAAGGTAAATAAAGTTAAAGTCTGTTATGATTGGCCCCTTAATGCTGTATGTACTTTTAAAAAACGATAAATGAGTTAAACCACACAAGAAGCTCCTTTAAAAAAAACTTTCCAGCCAGATAGAGGAATACATTTAAATCATGTTTGCATTACCTGAAGAAAATTTAATCACTCGTTATCCTATCAGACAACTTTGCTCCTTTTCTGTGAAACCTGAGCTTCTATTATCTAAATTTTCCCAGATTTGGGCATGAACTTGGCCTTAAATGTCTGAGGAATTCACAACAACCCAAGCATCCTAGCTGGCCTCATAAAAGATTCACGTTGCTAAGGTCCACGCACGCAAAGGACTGCACTGGAAATAAATGCACCAGGCCTTTTTCAAAGGTCACCTAACACAAGCTATGCTTGATTTCAACAAATTAGTCTTTCTATATTCTCTGAAGAAGGCAGTCTAAGTTTTGATCCCTACGAATCCAGAAATATTGCAGTGGGACACAGTTTGCTTGGAATAACGGTGCAGATCCTGTTAAGCTTGCAATGTCTTCCTAGTTTATCTGAGACAAGCAAAATACTAATAATAATTGGACACCATCAAGTGGATTTCTGACTTACGGAAAGTCTTCTTGAAATCTTCTAAGTACTCAGAAGTGGCTTCCCATTTCTTTCTTCTAAGAATGCTCTGGGACCAATTAGCTTCCCTAAGACCACATAAACAGGATTTTCTAGGGAATGAACTCAATGGCCTTACAGGCCTCTTCCAACTCTACCATTTCACAATTCTTCTAGGACAGTGGTCTGGGAACAGGGGTAAATTACCCCAAATGGGGTAAAAATGAAAATCCTGGGGGTAATGGGCAGAGCCTACCGTGTAGGATTTTGAGCATAACCTTGCTAGCGTTTGAAATGAGTGCAATTGTACAGTAGTTGGAACATTCTTCGGCACGTCCCTTCTTTGGAATTGGAATGTAGACCAATCTTTTCCAATCCTCTGGCCACTGCTGAGTTTTCCATTGATGATGATAAAAAAATAGTGCACTGGTCTTTGATATTGGGCTGTGGCACCAGGGTGGGTGACATGACATTTAGCCTGGTTTGTTCCTTTTTGCAGACCACACAGAATGATTAAAGTGGTAGGAAATGACCACCCCCAACTCTTTGTTGGCTGTGTCTAGCAAGCATGTCATTGCTAGCACCACTCTGGATATTCTCTGAAGAAAGCAGTCTAAGTTTTGATCCCTACGAATCCAGAAATATTGCAGTGGGACACAGTTTGCTTGGAATAACGGTGCAGATCCTGTTAACCTTGCAATTTCTTCCTAGTTTATCTGAGACAAGCAAAATACTAATAATAATTGGACACCATCAAGTGGATTTCTGACTTACGGAAAGTCTTCTTGAAATCTTCTAAGTACTCAGAAGTGGCTTCCCATTTCTTTCTTCTAAGAATGCTCTGGGACCAATTAGCTTCCCTAAGACCACATAAACAGGATTTTCTAGGGAATGAACTCAATGGCCTTACAGGCCTCTTCCAACTCTACCATTTCACAATTCTTCTAGGAGGTACAGAGGGAAACCTGTCTCCCACTCTCTGGCTCCTAAGCTAGGGACTGTACCTCCTTCAACGGCACCAAGCTTGCTGGAGGAAGATGATAATGAGCGATTCAGGAAACAAGATACAGTATTTAAACCTATCTTCTCAACAACAAGGCATAAGTCCTCCATTCTTCTTTGAATGGGAAAACAATGAGATAGCAGTTCAAAAAGGCACTTTGTACAAGTTTGCACATCATGTAACTTTACAGTGAGGGGGACGAAAGTTAGGGCAGCCCAACACCCTTATCACCCTCCCAGTTAAAGTATTCTTCTCAACATAATGCAAGGTGAGAGCGACTTTACAGTGAGGGGGACGAAAGTTAGGGTTAGGGCAGCCCAACACCCTTATAACCCTCCCAGTTAAAATATAATTCTCAACATAATGCAAGGTGAGAGCAATGCCATCACATGGATCTGCTGATAGTAATGCGTGATTAGAACTTAAAAGAAAGAAATAAAGCAGAAGCCAACATTGCTGAAAAATTTGGCCTATAAATCAGATATAAGGAGGGGTGTGACTCACAGAACTATGTAAAGACAACAAATTGCTACATGTTTCAGACTATCAAACAGATAAGAGTATGCATGGGCGTCACCAGGTGGACAACACCTTCACCAAAACAGCCGACACGACTATCAAACAGATAAGAGTATGCATGGGTGTCACCAGGTGGACAACACCTCCACCAAAACAGGCTACACAATTGGAAGTAATAGATGGAGAAGCTGTATTGTCTCTTTACCCAAACAAGACTAGGAGAAGATTCTGGTACTTGAATTTAAAGTTGAAGACCACCACTAAAATCATCATAGTGCCAAAATATATTTTAAAAATGCCTGTATGATGAACAGACGTACATTTCTAAAGAAGAACTATAGATTTAAATTTGAGATGTTATGAGGGAAAAAACACAAAAAGGCAATTCCTACAAGTCGAAAGAAAAAAGAATGAAAAGAAAAAACCTAGATAGACAACCGATGAAATGCGTAAGATTGTTAACTATAAAAGAAACAAAAGCAAAAGGTGACGGAAAAAAGACCAGAACCCAACATGCGATTAGCACAGAGAGACAATGAATTATGGGAGGACTGATGTAGAAGTGAATTTGTACAGGGGAAGCAAAGCATGTCAAACAGAACTTGCTATTTGGTCTTCCCCTCTTCATGAAAGAGCCACCCTTAACATATTGGCCCAGACACTACCATAAGAAAGGTACTGTCTGCCAGGCATAGATACAAAGACAAATCCTTTCCCATGGAAGGCCAGCAGAATGTAAGCCATTCCGAAAGATGCTTCAGGTTCAGATAGGTTCAAGTTACCATCATGGGCTTCACCAGTCAAGTTCTGTTTCTGTTCACTATTCATAAACCTTAGGTCTGCTGTAACTTGTCCCTTGGATTTTGAATTATACTTTAGTATGAATGCACCGAGCGACGTTTTTACAGGTCATCTTTGTAATGGAGAGTGAACATGACAATCTATTCTACTGAGATTCACGGCTCACCCACATTGAACCAGGCTAGTATCAACCAGAGATTTTTTGCCAAAGGACCGCTGTTACACTGACAGCATCTAAGTCACAAATAAGATTTCAATGCCCAGCTTCTTCAGACAAGAAACATGGTGTCCTCGGAGCATATAAGATAGCAAAGAGAGTTGACGGAAGACAGCCGAACTAGGGCACAGTTTGAGAGCATGTCCAACCAGCCATCCCTGGATGCAGCCACTTAAAGCCCTGCTACTTTCTCCAGAGCCCGTCTGTCAAGCCGATCGCAGAATGCAGGATAAGATGCAGCTGGAGCCCCTTGACGCGAGCCGGATGGAATGCTAGGCTGCAGCAGTCGGCTTTAAACACCCGGACTTATAAGGCTCTGAGCAACATCAAAACACACAGAGAGCTTGGGAAAAAAAGTTGTAGGAGGAGGGGGGGAACATTAGGAACCTTCCCAAAAGATAGATTAGCTGCTAACTAAACGGCTGGTCCTTGAGACTGTAGCAGCCTTATTAAGCCTTGTACTCATGGTGGAACAGGCTTGGTGTCCCTTAGCTGTTTTTCCAAATAGGAAGCTGAACAGAAAACGACGGAATAAAATTCACCTTCTGCAAAAGATAATGGGATGGCCCATGTTGCAAAACTTTATTGGGGGTGGGAAAACTCCAGTTTTTAAAATATTTCTTTCTTTGTTTTTTACTGCTGACTCCTCAAGCATTCTGAATGAGAGCAAAAAAAGGCAGAGCACTTCTAATACTATCTGCTTGAAGTCAGAAGCAGTTTGGTGTTCATTCCACTCCTGGTTATTCTCCCCTATTTTTGTTTTTCCTCCTGATATTATACCCCGGTTTGTACTATGGAACACACTCTTCATATTTTCTTTCCCCTCCTTCTATTCTCTGGCACGTACATAGCAGAAGCAAAACAAAAAATCAAAACCTTAACGTGTTCACCTTAGGTTTGTTTCAGGGTGAGTGAAATAAGCGTTTTCTCTGTGCCACGCAGGAGCATGCCGTGATTCCTGCATGAACACACAGGCTGCCCCTTTTGGTCTTCAGACACAGCAAAAGGCAACGACTTTATGGCTTCCAAGTCTTGCTTCAGACAAGAGATTTAAATATAACTTATTATATACCACTGAACAGAAAGATGAGAGGTGTCAAGCCTGCTTAAAGAGGCACAGAACTAGCTTCTTTGGGAGAAGTCAGAAGTTCTGCAAAGTTGATTGTCATTGGGAAACTACCAGTTATCCTCACTAAACCTTGATGGTAAAGGGCGAATAAGGTCTATTCCATACAGAGTGCATCACCCAGAACAAGTGTTTCCTTTAGCCAACTTATTAGTGTTCCAGGGGTCCGAATCACTGATGAGTCTGCGCATAAAAATTCGCTGTGACACACTGGAAAGAGAAGAACACATGTTGATCAAACATCAGAGTTAGCTTCTTCCCGACCTCCAGCATGGGCCATCGTC